ACACACACACACACACACACACACACACACACACACACACACACACACACACACACACACACACACACACACGTTCAAGCACTCGCCCAACAACAAATGTACGATGACCACACCACGTGTCACACCTGAAAGGGCCGCATAAAGTGGTTGAGGGTTGGCTTGTTGAGGGTGGGGAAGCTAGCCTCAAACTTGGCAAAGGCCTTGTCGTTGCACTTTGCCTGGTACAAGTCCTGCGCAGCAGGGATGCCTGCACAGTACCGACAATACGGGCCTTCAAATGTCTGAAAGTGGCGCGTGAGCGTTGCGTTGAGGTCCCCTGCCGACGCCTCCAGATCCTGCACACACGCCTCGTGCAGCGGGATCAGCTCCGCCCAGTTGTTGAACAGCACCTTTGCCTCTGGTGCCGACACGAGCCCGCGCAGCACGGGGAAGAAGGTGTCGCGCACCTCCACAAGGTTCTGCAGGTACTGCCGCTCCGTCGTTAGCAGTTCCTCCACCGCCGATGTCGGCTTGACCGAGTGCTGGCCGCTGCCGCCGCCCTCACTTGCGTCAGCCTCCTCCACATACTCCGGGCTCACCAAGCCTTTGGTGTCGTTGAGGGTGCACTCGAGCCAGCCGTCATCGTAGCGGGCAATCACCGTCAGGATGTCGCCCTCCCTGAACGCCAGCTCCTCGCCGCTATCTTCAGGCACCACGTCCATCAGCGCCTTCACCTTGACGGGGCCCATGCCGCCCTGCTGGTCCGATGCACGACGTCGCCGGTGTACGTGCTGCCCGTCAAAGCGCAGCAGTGTGTCGGGGTCTGGCAGTTTAGCACGAGCCTTGTCGGCGTCGGTGGGCGTGAGGAAGTACGTCAGCACCGTTGACAGCTTCATGTCGTCTGCCAGCAACGGCAGCAGCTGCTTCAGGAAGCGGATCAGCTTTGGCTGGCGGTGTATCGCCACCTCGTGCACTGCAGATCGCTTCAAGTACAGCTTGCGCGTCAGGCGCGGCAGCGGCTGCTCCGGTCCCAAAATGTCTTGGATGGTGTCCCGCAGCGCGTCAAACTGCGAATAGCGTCGCCAAATGCGCACCTTCGTGCCACCCTCATATGTCACCACAATCTCGTACACGTAGTGCTTGCCTCCCTCCCTCCTTTTCTCCGCAGATGGGATCGCAAACTCAACCACACGCCCTCCGCCGCCACCACCGCCACCACCACCGTCTCCACCACCAGCGCCCACACCTTTCATCATCGTTGGCTCGCCACTGTCGCCGCGCTGCTTGCTTGCTTTGTTGTGCTGTGCTGAGGTGTTGTGGTGGTGGTTTGTTGTGTTTGTTGTTGGCGCACATACGATTAATTGCTATATGTTTAATAATTTTCTACAATCACCAGCTTTTGCGATCTCGGTTATTTGTGGCGGCCACTCACTCACGCATTACAGCAGCACCAGCCAGCCTCTCACGACACTTCCTGCCTGCCTGCCTGTCTTTCTTTCTGTCTTTCTTTGGTGGCCTCCACTGATTTGCGTCATCGGTGTGCATACGCAGCGCTCTGCACAACAGCTCTTGTCAGTTGTGGTTGTGGTGGGTTGATTCGCTTCAGCTCTACAGCTCCCGTGCGCCTCCTCCTCCTCCTCCTCTTCCTTCTTCTTCCGAAACAGCGACAATGGCCTTGAAATACAACGCGATGAACCCAAACGAGACCTGGGTGAACCACCCAGGTTTCATTGCCATGTACCTCGTGCTCTTCACAGCGTGCCACTTGGTGCTGTTGAGCTTGCCCATCACCACCGAGCTCGTCTGGACCCTGACAAATGTTTGCCACAGCCTGGTGCGTCATCGTACACTGCGCATGAGTTTGTGAATGTGTGTGTTCTGTGTGTGTGTGTGTGTGTGTGTGTGTACGTGTGTGTGTGTGTACGTGTGTGTGTGTGTGTACGTGTGTGTGTGTGTGTGTGTAAATATGCGGTGTGATTGGTGCTTGCACAAGCGAACCTTGTCTACAGCACTAGTTGTGTTGTGTGCGACACCTGTGCATGCGCGTGCGTCAATGTTGACTTGCGTGCGCACCCGAGTGTTTCCACTCCCGCACCACAACCTCGCGTTCTGAATGTCGCGCAGCTACCTCTCATTCCCTGCCCAACTGTGTGCGCGCTTGCTTTGTGCTCATGCCCTGCTGCTACAGATCACCTTTGTGTCATTCCACTGGCTCAAGGGTGCTCCGTTTGAGACCATGGACGAGGGAGAGTCGCTCAGCCTCACACAATGGGAACAGGTCTGCAACTGTGCGAAGCCACTTTCAATGAACACCCATCACATACACACACACACATCCGTACGTGCGCGTCAACTGATCGCGTTGCCATCCACGACTTGTTTGTGCTTGTTGTTTCATTCAGATTGGCAGCTCGCCCGACATGACGCAGACGAAGCGATTCCTCATCGGGTTCCCAGTGCTTGTGTAAGTTGTTGCTTGTGTGTGTGTGTGTGTGTGCTCGTGTGCGGGTGTGTTGTCACG